GACGAGCTGCGCAAAAAATCGCGCGAATATGAACGTGGTTTTGCGCAGCTCGTCAGTGAACAACGGCTCTGTGTAGTTAATGCTGCTCAATGTGAAAGCCCGCAGTTGATGGAGATTTACCGCTGATTACAGAACCGGCTTTACTGATAAGATGCGCGTTAAATATCGCATGCGATTAATCGTGCAGCCCTAATATAAACCCAACACACAGGAGGTTTCATGGAAGCTATGGAATGTTGTGATCAGCCCTTCAGGTTCACTATGTCCTGGTGACTCAGTTTGATATCGGACCGTTGTCGTGGAAATGACACATGACCTCCTTCGTAACAGCATTTCTGAACAAGATAATGGTTTTAAAAACTTTGCAATAATTACACAAAAGCGAGTATCACCATTATTGCTCAATCTTGCCTGATCTTTATTGATCTGAGCAACCACATATCAGCACCCTAACAACCAGACTTAACAATTTACAAACATTGCTTTAGAAAATGTAAAAATCTACTAATTAAATTGCTGATATTTTGTTGTTGGCGTTCTGTTTTCTGCAGACCCTGAGTCAAAGCTTTGTAATATATATTTTTTATTTTTATAAAAAGTCTCTTATGCAGTGCATTTATTTGATGAATTGCAGTAATGTTGTGAAATAATATTATTATATATTATTAATAATTACTATATATTATTAATTATTAATAAAAAAATAAAAATGTAATTTATTCCTGTGACAAAAAGCTGAATTTTCAGCATCCTTACTTCAGCCTTCAGTGTCACATGATCCTTCAGAAATCATTCTGATATGCTGATTTGCTGCTCAAGAAACATTTCTTATATTATCAATATTGAAAACAGTTGTGCTGCTTAATATTTTAGCGGAAAACACGATACACTACCATTCAAAAGTTTGGGGTAAGATTTAATAATAATAATAATAATTTTATTTAGAGAGGATGGATTAAATTGATCAAAAGTAGTGACAGTAGAAGAAGACATTTATAATGTTACGCAATATTGCAAATAAATGGTTCATTTAACTTTCTATTCTTCAGGAATCCTGAAAAAAGGTATCATGCTTTTCACAAAAAAATATTAAGCAGACATTTTAATGTTGAAAATTATTAATAATTGAGCACCAATAATAATTGATGATAATTGAGCAACAAATCTGTGTATTAAAATGATTTGGGAAGGATCGTTATATAACACTGTTATAAAATTTCACAATATTACTGTTTTACTGTATTTTTTTTCTTCAAATAAATGTAGCCTTGTTGGGCATAAGAGACTCCTTTCTTAATTATTCCAAACGTTTGACTGCTAATGTATACATATTTGTATTTAATTTTGACAGATTTTTTTTTTTTTTGGTTACAGCAATAATGGCCCACTCAAGTCAAGATGGCGAAATTGTACCTGATGATGGATGGTCATCCATGCATAATCGTGTGAATTCCTTCCAGCACTTCCCCCGTTCTGAAGAATTTCCAGCCGAGCGACTGGCCCGGGCAGGCTTTTATTTTACAGGTCAGGCGGTCAGGGTGCACTGTTTCAGCTGCCATGCGACAGTGGAGGACTGGAACAGAGGGGACACCCCACTGAATAGACATCAGCAAGCGTCTCCCGACTGCACGTTCCTCAACTGTGCTCACAGCTTGAAAACCTCCGACTTCATTCAAAGCCCTGTTTACAACAAAGAGGCCGAAGCCAGGGAGTTCCAGCTCCGCACGGGAGAGGTGGTGGATCAGACCATTTATCCCAAGGTGCCACACATGAAGAGCGAGGAAGCTCGGCTGAATACTTTTAGTGACTGGCCGGCAGACGCTCCAGTTCAACCCGAAGACCTGGCAGCAGCAGGGATGTATTACTTGAGGACAGATGACATGGTGCGGAGCTTCTGTTGTGGGCACCAGCTGGCAGGATGGGAGCCAGGCGACGATGCCTGGGGTGAACATGCAAAGATCTACCCAAACTGCTTCTTCATCTTGGGCCACGGTGTGGGCAATGTGCCGCTGCCAACACATAGACCCAGGGTGAATGGGCAAAGAGCCTCTGTGGAGACTTTTGAGGGGCGTCTTGATAGCTTCAGAGGCAGACAACTTCCCATAGACCCCGAGAGACTGGCCAGAGCTGGTTTCCACAGCACAGGTAACTACTGTTATGACTCTCCAAGCTTATTCAGTTATTTATACTGAATAAACTAATCCTCTCAAATAGCTTTTAGAGAAATAGCTTTGTTTGAAAAAAAAAGCTCTGTCACCAACAAAAGTGAATGTTTCTTAAAAGTTTTGTTCATCATGATAGTCTTCACGAATGAACCCGACTTTCTAGGTTTCTGGGTTTTAAGTGATTTAAGTGGAAATGGAGGAAGTTTTTGGGTCACGTAGAGGAGGTAATATAAATAAAGAACTATTGAAACGAGAAGCATTTTGGATTCATAAACTTAAATCACTGAACCCAAATGGTATGAATGAGGAATTAGATCTTTCTGTCTTTCTTTAATGAACTATGGTTGAGCGTATTCATTTTTAATATTTTATATAATAAATTGAGTATTTACAGTGTGAAAAACAATGATAGTTTATGACGATGTATTTCTGATGTTCTTAATTATTGAATTTTCCATTGTTATACAATTTAAAGTTAATTGGTGGAGTAGATATTGATGATTGATAGGATAAACTATAAGTTTGTATATAATGGTGATAAATATGTGATCCTAAACAACTATTGTTCTAGTCACGGGTATATTGTGAGGTGTACTAGTGGATGTGACGTGTTGTGTTGGATATATATATGTAAATTGTCCAGGGTTTAAGTGGAAATGATTTAATGATTGTGGTAATTGAACATTGGCTAATGAATGATGACGTCAATATAATTAGTGATTTGAAAAGTGGGTGGAGGGATTGAATTGCTTTACACACTGAGGAAGGCTTTGTGGAGTAGATATTGATGATTGATAGGGGATAAACTATAAGTTTGTATAATGGTGATAAATATGTGATCCTAAACAACTATTGTTCTAGTCACGGGTATATTGTGAGGTGTACTAGTGGATGTGACGTGTTGTGTTGGATATATATATGTAAATTGTCCAGGGTTTAAGTGGAAATGATTTAATGATTGTGGTAATTGAACATTGGCTAATGAATGATGACGTCAATATAATTAGTGATTTGAAAAGTGGGTGGAGGGATTGAATTGCTTTACACACTGAGGAAGGCTTTGAGCCGAAACGTTTGTGCCTTTTCCCATCAGTAATGAATGTAAACGAAAAGAAAAAAGAAGATTGTTCACGTGAGTGCGGATCATAATTTCCTATACTAAGTATCATTTATATACAATTTATAGTTTTTGTTAATGTTTTAAATTACATTTTTATATTTTCTGTTTTCACTTTCATTTTAGTTAAGCATTTTTAGGTGTGTGCGTGTGTGTGTGGTTTTATTTTTCAGTTAATTTGTTTTAATTAGTTTAGTACTTCAGGTAAAAACATTTTTTTAATATAATTTATTTTAAGTTTCATGTTTGTCAAGTAACATTTGTTTTATGTTTTTAACGATAACATCCATTTTCATACTGTACATTATAGGGTTATTGATTTCAACATTCACTAGAGATAACATTTTAAGTGTTAAGTTATTTGTTTAAATAAGTGTACATCATACAATGGCTAAAGGCATAAATATATCCAATATTAACTGAAACAGCCAAATTATAGTCTCTTATATTATCTGATATGGTACTGATATATTGTGTATCCCTGAAGAAAATTAGTCCATATGACTTGAGGAATGGACCAAAGTTGTCGTCATTCTGTGAAAATCATACTTTAAAAAATCTTGCCTTTTATGTTTGATTGAACTGTTCTTAATCCTTTCTGATATTTAATTCTAAAAACACACTTAAAGTATATAATATTTATCAGTATATTTTAGATATATATCATGTGAGGTAAGCATAAACCATGGTGAAAAATGTGGTGTCTAATTGTGAAATGATTTTAATTGACCCCCAGCTGCAGTTTCCTTCTGGCAGAAAAAGGAGAAGAATATGTCAACAGCGTGCAGCTGAGAAATCCAAAAGGAGACCATTCAGTGAGTCATTAACTTTACTTTACACAATCATGTGTACTTAAGTGAATGTGTTGAATGTAGGGCTGTCACTAATGATTATTTTGACGATTGAATCGAGTAATCGGATCATTTTTTTTGTGGTAATAAAAATAGACCTAAGCGAACAATAGACTTTAAAATGACTTAAAATACCTATATAATAGCAATGAGGCAATAATAATTGGTTCAAATAAAATGTAAAAAGCAAGTAATCATGGTTTTATTGAACAAAACGGTTAAAATATATAATGCAATAATAGCCTATAATCACAGCTTATGTACGTTATGTATTAAATCAAATGCCTGCAGAGGGTGCCAACGGCCTGTGTAAATTGTAAATAGTTTTTACACGTTACAGCGCGATCTAATCCTTGTTTAATATTGACTAAACAATCAAATGTCCATATAATCTTTCATATTTGACCACTTCTTTATGATAGAAATGCTACAGCCACTGTCATTTCTTGAACAAGAACATGTGGACATCAAAACATGCGAACTCGGAGCGAGGGTTTAAACTTTTATTTTGAAGTGGCAATGAACAGTTTGCATATTTGGAAAGATAATGATGTATTCTCCTGCGTTTGCGTAGGTTTATAATTGATTTACCTTATAAATCATATAGAATGGTGCACATAAAGCAACTCAGACTCACAGCATATGCAAAGTTTGAGACTGTCCGCGTATGTAAATGATGACTGTTTGTGTGGAGCAGCATTTACTGTGAACGGAGTTGCTTTGAGATGCCCGTAACCTACACGCATATAAATAAAGCGCGTATTAAACCCGCAGCACATATATTTATTTAACTGAAACGCAGCCTTTGTGAATTCACAATAGCACTATGCTTTATTATGATTTTTAAATGGTTTTAATATTTCGTGCCGCCTTGGAAAATGGTCTAATAATGCTTTGCATGGATTCTCATCCGTGGAATGCGCCACTTCCAGTATTTTGCCAGTTAATCGACGTGGGCAAAATGCAATTGTGGATTTTTTTTTTTTTTTAAATCGAGTACTCCGATTTAACTGAGGAATCGTGACAGCCCTAGTTGAATGAATGGAATTCAGAATGAAAACAGTCCTTTTATTCATCTATATATATATATATATATATATATTATATTAGTGTGCACTGTGTAGTCTTACATGCTTGTAATTTTCCCTCACAGAGATCAAGTCAGAATGGCTTTACAAGTCATGAGCATGGTAAGCATTTCTGAGTTTATTTTACTTTCAAATCCAATGAAGCCATAACCATAGTTTTTATTACTGCTGTCTGCAATATCGCTGGAAACATCCTGTCTTCACCAGATATTTATTTGATCTCTACTTTGTGTTCAGCAGCACAGAAAGTCTTGCAGTCAGAGATTGCACAAAAGGCTGTAGATATGGGTTTTGACCCCATCAAAGTGGAGTGCACCATTCTGCAGAAATTACATCAGAACACAGAGGGTTATGCTTCAGTAGAAGCCCTTATTGAAGACATCAGTGCACAGGAGAGTGCTAGTACCATGCGCGAGAAAGCTGGCAAGTGCTTGTTTTCTTTTTTTATTCATTTCTTTGAAAGTCTGTTTTGTATGCAAGGGATTTTTAAACGAAGTGTAGCAAGTGAATTCCAACTTAGTTTTTCCAAAAATAAGACCATGCTTTGCGTTAGGTTTTGCAAAAAAAAAAAAAAGTGTATTTATACTTTACCAAAAATAAATTACTTTTAATAAATTTTGTAAAAATCTAAATGCTTCAAGTATATTGCAGAATAAAATGTAGTTTAATCATACACTTAAAAATAACATACCGCACATTGTGCAGATTGACAGCTTTTGAACATCACAAAATAAGATAAATATAATAAAATAAGCAGAGAACCACTTGTTATTGTTAATATTTATTACGGTGAATTCTTTCATTCTGTTATTGTTGTTTTAACAATGCGTTTGTTTCTTACATGTTTTCTACAGAGGACCCCATGACGAAACTTGAGAAACTCCAGAGGGAGAAACTCTGTAAAGTCTGCATGGACAGTGACATTAACATTGTCTTCATTCCCTGTGGACACCTGGTCACTTGTCAGAAATGTTCAGAATCCCTGAACAAGTGTCCCATCTGCTGTGCCGCAATCACACAGAAGATAAAGACATACAATGCCTAAAAGACAAAGAAACCAGCACTCCAAAAGAAACACTGATGTTTATTGAAAGTTTCAGAATGTAATCATTTCCAAAATTGCACATAGATGTGTAAAATAAGCTATATATATATATACTTTTTCATACCCCTGAAATAGCTGCTTCCCTCAAATACACCGCCTCAGATTGATGTTAATTACTCTAGTGCCTTTATGTAGACTACTTTTTATGAACATTACCATTGTAATTTAGCAATCATGTTTTACAGTGTACCTTATATTTGATCTTTTATTTATTTATTTATTTATTTATTATAAAATAATAATTGCTTGACACTTTTAATCATGTTCAAGGTTGATTAAACTTCACCAGTCAAACTCGTTTGTCTTCTGATACTTTTCTGTTGTCATAATTCCTTTAATAATGACTTTATCATCCATTATAATGACAATAAAAGTGGAATTCGGGTGGCTCTTTTCTCTTCTCTTTGATCTGTCAGTTTTAAAATTCATGAACTGGAAAGTGAAGCTAAAAACCGTTATGCTTAGAACAGTAGAACACAATTCTCACCATAAATTCCACCTGTTTACCAATTGTGTAGTTCACTTTATATATGTCATTATATTGTTATATATTATATGGATTTAGTAAGTGCTTCTCCAAACACTTTAAGTGGCACATAGCAGTCAGATTATTATTTTGTAATTATTCAAAAATTATGTAAATTTATCAGTTATAATAGTTTGTGTATTTATTAAAAATACTTTTGTATTTTAATTGTTTACAATTAACAGCTCCAAGTGTTCTGATAAGAAAACAACTAAAATGTATTTGACAAATGTACAGATATACTGTGTGTATATATATATATATATATATATAGAGCGAGAGAGAGAGAGATAATAACCTTATAAAATGCCCCAGAAAATCAAACCTAGAGGCAAATATTGCCCATTAATAATAAAATAGTTCATTTCTGACACTAGCGTCTACTGCACTGAGCATTTTGCACGTAAGGGCTTCGACCACTAAACGTCAGTCTCGAGCTCACTGCAATCCCTCCGCTGAGCACTAGGTGGCAGCTCTACACCGGCAGTTTCTTTCTTGAGTGATCGGAACAACAAACCGAACGGAGCAAGCGGGGTAAGAGCGTGTCCAAAACCGCCTCTGACCGCCACTTTCAAACTACATCCATGAAATAGCCGCGAATGCGCACTTTAAAGCCACTGGAGTCCATCTAGCTCTTCGAGAAGTCCTTATAAACAATCCGGAACCGGCCCTGACGATCGGGTAAGTGATAAAATGGCGGAGAGATTTATAGAAATTTGTGGCTTTAGGGTTATTTGGATGATGTGTTAGCCGCGCTAGCCTGGTAAGCGAGGGTCAGGATACGAAACGAGCCGCCGTGCTTCCGTTGCCGTGTTTAAATCATATAAACCACCTCGCCGTGCTCATTGGGAATTTAAACAAGCGTATTATGGTTTCACGAACGAATGTAGTTTTGTGGCGTTTCATTGGTAAACAGTTAGCTAGCGGGCTAGCCTTAGCCTGCACAGTCAGGAACACAAATTGAGAGGCAAGATGGAGGACGAGGACGCGATGTTCCCCCCCCCCCTCTTCTCCGAGACGGAAAAGCTGATGTAAATTAGTGGCTTTAGGTTATTTGGATGATGTGTTAGCCGCGCTAGCCTGGTAAGCGAGGGTCAGGATACGAAACGAGCCGCCGTGCTTCCGTTGCCGTGTTTAAATCATATAAACCACCTCGCCGTGCTCATTGGGAATTTAAACAAGCGTATTATGGTTTCACGAACGAATGTAGTTTTGTGGCGTTTCATTGGTAAACAGTTAGCTAGCGGGCTAGCCTTAGCCTGCACAGTCAGGAACACAAATTGAGAGGCAAGATGGAGGACGAGGACGCGATGTTCCCCCCCCCCCTCTTCTCCGAGACGGAAAAGCTGATGTCGCACCTATTATGCTACTTTAATCACATTGTCAATTTTAAACACACTCGCTGCCTATTTTTACTCTTTATATGTAAGCATGTGGTCGGTGCGTGTGCATAATGACTGGAAACGAGCGGAGCCAAAATGGAGAATCCCGAAAACAGCTGTGCTGGACTGACTTCAAGATGGAGATTTTTTTTCCCCCATTCTGATCGTGTTTTTAATCGTTCCGTCAAATTGTAGCGCGATTTCGCGACTGTAGCCTGCATTTGCGCTAACAAGCTCGTCGTTTAACGTTGATAATTGTGCGTTGGAAGTAAAACACGGCGAGTAATGAAGTAATACCGTAGTAAGAAGTGCGACGAGGAGGAGTTTGCGAGCGCCCGCCTGATCTCAGCACTCGACTTCACATACTACTAGCTCCATACATTAGCAGATCCCATTATTTCTCGCTTCTCTGGACCAGTGGGTCGTGACCCAAAAATGGGTCTCGCTTCTGTTTTGACAGGGGGCTAAAACAATGCTTAATGAAACTGTAATGGTGCTTATGTAGGGCAGTAAAATAAATGTGCCGATCAACTTTTAAAAGGTGGAAGAGACACCTTCCCATGTCTTTTGTTGTTGACGCCAGAGGACGTGCGTCCAATCAAACTTTACGATATTTTGGCGCAAATTCATCTGTCACTTGATGAAATGGTTAATACTGATACACTATTTGCTGTATGTTATTATTAAGTTGGGATGGGATAAACAGGACATGAAACTAACATGCTATTATATGATAAGAGGAAGCAGATGCTCTAGAGTCTAGACAGAATTTTTAATATATAGAGGCCGGTTTACAATTACTATGTATTTGACAGATTATAAACACAACTGATCCGTCCACACATTGGTAGCGAACAGGAACTGGAAAGCAAGGGATGATTAATGGTGCAGTGTTTTGGGCTAAGCTGTCATTGTCACAATGGCTGTGGATAGAAGCGTCATTTGGCGCCACTTTTTCTTCGAACGCATTGTCGAAGATGATACCGTGGCTTTTGAATTCCCGCCTTATCGCCAAATATATAACATTGCGCTATAGTGCGTCTGTGCACCGCATATAAATGCTGCTTATTGTTACTTGCTGGGTATTACATAACTGTTATCTCACGTTCTCAGCACACGCTTTGCCGTGCATTTGGTGCAGCGAGGAACATCGTATTCGACATATCTATTTTTTTTTTCGTGAATTATAATGTACTCTGTGATTATGCTATTTAAATCTTATTTAATTCGCACACATTGGGGTGCTGAAAGCCACACCTCTTTATGCCCGTATATGGTCGAATTCAAAGTGTTGCGGGTAATATAGAAAACTTGTTTTCTTTGGAATATTTTTAACAGGGCATTAATTCAGAATATTCATTGTACAAACTAAATGATCCGTTTGAAATAATGGGCAGTGTGTCTAAATGCGTCATTTATACAGCGGTGGCCCGGTTCCTTCCTTCTCTCTCGGTTCATGTTTACGTCCACAAATGTTACTGCCGGGCTCTGATTGGATGCGGTGTAAAAAAGGGCGGACGTTACTTCCTTATATGGGCACAGAGGTAGCTCTGAAGCTCCGGCTCTCGGAGATGTTTCCTGGAAACGGTGGAATCTTGATAGCCAATCAGCAAGGAAGCCGCGCGATATGACGGACTCAGCGAGCCACGCCCACTTTTTTTCATTCTCAACCGCGGGCACATCTTCAGCGCACAGCCCCAAGAGGTCCTCGCTGCAGCCTGTAGCACGATGACGTAGCTGGATCAGATCCAATACCTATTGGATTTGACGAGCATGCGCAGTATTGGATTTTAGTTTGGTATGTAAGCTATGTTTATTTTTTATTAGTTTGATTCGTTTTAGAAATAAAACTCTACTAATTACAATTTTGTTTGTTCTTTATGAAAGAAATGGGTATAACTATTGTCTTTATTTTTTCCTCTTGATAGTCTAGTCAAGATAGTTAGTTCTGTCAAAAATTCGTTCATGAATCAAATATTATTTTTCGTTCTCACTCTCTGTGCTATACGTGACAGAGTATAAAAGTTATAGGCCTACTAAAACATGCGGACATAATTTTTTATACCATATAAAAATAAAAAGAAGAAAAACAATCCTGGCAGTCGGGGTTCCGTATAGTGGATAGACCGTTATCCCGGGTTATACCGGGTTTTTACAGTTAATCCCATGTCCAGCAAATAAATACACACACGGTCGGAGACAAGGCATATTAACACAAAGATGACCATTTCTTTTTTTTGTGTGTGTTATATGCAAGTGAAATCCCTGGAGATAGATAGACCAATTATAAATGGCTAAAGACATAAACCATCCATTATCTCTCTCTCTCTCTCTCTCTCTCTCTCTCTCTCTCTCTCTCTCTCTCTCTCTCTCTCTCTCTCTCTCTCTCTCTCTCTCTCTCTCTCTCCCAGCTTGTCCCTAGACACGGTTCTAATCACTTTTACCTGAGAAGATTTTGCTGCTTCGTTTCGGAAGATTAACTTTTCCCTTCTTTATTCTTCTAACTCAAGAGAATGCGGCGACACATGCCTAGGGTTACGCCGCCTAAACGGTGCAGTGAATTATAGTTTGAAAGGCCTGCGTGGTCTTAAATGAGTTATAAAGTCTTTAATGACTGCAAAGAGTTGGGAGAAAATGCTATAATTAATAGGTAAAATTGAGGGAAAATGCACCAGCAGGACAAATTAAAAAATATTGTAAAAATATTTAGTCATTGTAGTAGTTATAACTGCCTGTTTTTGCAAAAAGAGTTTCATGGCCGGTAAGAAAAAATTTTGGCCAGTAAATTTTATCATGTCACCGGCCATTGGCAGGTCTGGCAAAAAGTTCTCTTTAGGCCCTGCTTTCATGGCACTGTAATAGGCCTTTATCACATTCCGTGTGTCGTCACATCCGGCTCCGGTTAGTAACGTAAAGGCATTTCCACCTGCATGATTGTCAATGGACAGACGCCAATTTTGTGAAGAAAATTAAACTTAGTTGGACTTAGCAATAAACGTCAATAATTAAAACAGTTTATTTATACTGATGCCCTACCATGTATGTCATGACTCGTGAGATTAATGAATAGCAGCACTGCTCAGGTTACTCTCAGAGGAAGAATCGGACTGATTTAAACTTATTTTTAATATTATTTTGCTTATTCTTGCATTATATATATTGTGATTAACCTGCCGTTTTTGTATAATGCTATTCAATCATTGCACTCAATTGCAGGATATTATTGCAGGATATGACTCGTTTATGATGGTCAGTCTAGTTATTTTTGAACAACTTTAGCTTGATGTAATTATTAGGGATGTAACAACTCAAGTCACAATTCGATTCGATTCACGATTCGAGTCGCGATTTTCTTTTTTACAAAATTAGATTTAGGACAAATTATAAATAAAATTTGTC